TAGTGCGCGGAAAAAAGTGACGAAGGGGTTCCGATGGTTAATGTTTGAGTTTACATTTCTCATAATCTGCTGCAAAATGGTATTAACTACTAACATGGCTGGAAAGTGTAAGAAGTGGCGTGTTTTGGGTGAAAATTGATTTCGGGCCCGAGGCTTACTTCCGGGTGTCCTTCCGCCCTGAGCGCGGTGCTTCGGTTTGACCTAAATATGCCTTGTATGCGTTCTGGGGGTGCTGTCGCTATGCCTCGCGCGACGGGCTATTGTGATAATCTCAGTGTTAGGATTTTCTTTATACTTTTCTTAATAATACATAAGGGTTTTCTCTTTCCGACCATATAAGTCATATCGGTGGCTAAAATCTGGGTGATGGGTTTAATCACACGTGAAAATAGCCAATTTTTGGCATCATTTTTCATCAAAAAATTCTTTTTCCCCCTAAAATTTACTAAAATGTGAGAGGTGAAAGAAATTGATATTCTATTGTTCTCGTAGCTAGAGGGATATCCTTCATTTGCAAACAGAGTGTTTTGGCTTAAGAGGTATTTCCTGAAAGAGACGGTCGCTAGAGTTGAGGGTATGCAGAATCGAATTGAGACCCAAAATAAACTGGGGTGTGCCCCCCTAAGGAGGTTTTTCCCTGAAAACTAAATGGTATTCAACATAACTGTACCAAAAGTGTTTATGACAGAATATTATGGTGTACTAAGTCTTATGTTGCCCATAGCAACACCGGTGACGTCATAAAATGACGTCAAGATATCCGCCATCTTGGATCATGAATGTTGAATTTTTAAAAATAGTTCTTTTTCATGATAAAGCCTAAAATACATTGTAAACATACTAAAGACCTTCATTTAAATCTTTTTTGGAAAAAGAAATGGAAGTATTGATGAAATTTTAATGAAAATAACCTATATATACCTGTTCTAATGATATGGTCCGCCATCTTGGATTTTGGCCCATGACGTCATCAAATTAGCATAAATTATGCATATTTAATGATAAAATTTACATAAAATTATATGGGATGTTATTAATATTAGAAACCATGAGTAACTTGACATAAAACCCATAAAATTCTATTGTTGAAACAAAAAGTACTAAATTTAGCAAAAAATGCCTGTCAGAAACCCGTTGCCATGGCAACACAAAAAATTATTATTTTATTCCAATGATAAAGAATTGTTGCCAACAATATTTTAGGAAAAGTCACCAAGTTTGGCCGCTCTACGGCTAGCCGTTCAGACGCTAGGTGACATCAAAGTTGCCGCTGGCACTTTTAGCCCCCCCCCGGTCTAGGTAGGGTTAATGTTGAGCATAAAATGCTCCAACACGGCAAAACACAGAGAAAAGCAAGCTGTGTAACGTCAACAGGATCATTCCGATGCCTTCTAGTCCTATGCAAATGAGGGTTACCCTCGTATTTTCGCATTGCATTCTGGGGATAAAAAACTGGTGAATACGTCGATTCCAAGATATCAGATACTGCAATTTTGGCTGTAAATGTTTTTTTTTTCTGTACCATTTTCTCTCCTACAGGCATGATGAATACCATTCGCCAACAAGTCAATGACAACAGCAAGAGAATCCTCACCATTGAGAGGAAGTACAAGGAGAGCCAGGGACGACTGGAAGACGATATAGTCAAGACGATGGACCCTAAGGTTCTGGCTCTAGACGGGAGGTTGGAGGCAGTCCTCAATACAACCAACGAAAACTCGGAGGCGGTTCTCAGTAACAAGAACGAGAGATCGCAAATGCTGGGAATGGTGAATTCCATTTCTTTGAGAGTGGGAAGTGTGGAGAACAGGACTGTCAGTCTAGCCCAAGAGCAGGAGGATCTGAGAGTGAATTCGCCGTGTGGTGCATGTAGGGCAGCGCTTACGGAAGAAATCGTAAGCACGGTCATGAGTCGACTACAAGAGGCAAGAGGTAGGAGCTAATATCGTATTATTAATATAAAAGTCTATTGCAAATACATGCCCGCGGGCTAATTGCAGTTACAAACAACATAAGAAAGAAAATACAGTCGTGTGTCAGACTATATCTACGTCTAGCATTATACTATACTCTACAACATACATGGTACTAGTTTTACTGGGTTTGACTTCTTCTTTTTAGGCAATGGAAGACGAATTTACCCACTTCTTCTATAAGATGTAGGTTCTTTGATTTTTTTTTTTTTTTGATCGGCCAGGCTGCTTCGATTAACGAAAAACAAATAATTTACATCAGTAATATACGCAAAGAGTTTCAATTATCAATTCTGCCGCCTTTTTTGTGCTTTGTTGTCTTTTATATCATAGTGTTCGTTTCATAAAACTATCCGGCCGGGCCCCGTTTTGGAAATGTGACCCCAGCATAAGAAAGGCTTTTGAGGCCTGCGCCCACTTTTATCTCAGATAGCACCTGAACGGCTTGGGCTATATGCTAGGTGACTTGTCCTAAAATATACCTGGAACTGGTTAGATAATAAATTAGACATATCTGCCGGCTGCCGGCGTCATGAAGCCGAGCGTTCGCCGTCTGTCAGGGTCACAATTAAATGATCCTTTTTACGGCTCCCTGTCGGGGCCTGGTTGTGCTCCGACCGGCGTTTAGGCGACAATTCTGCGACCGCGTGGGGCCAAAAATAGGCCGGCAGCCGTCGGGAAGCCCGCCGGTCTCCGTCCAGGTCCCGTTCGGTAGTGCCAAATAACAGGCCGAAAACCCGCCGAGCGGGCCCCTTGGTTGAATTGTGATCTAGGCTTAACCTGGTAACTCTCTCACACAGAGTGGCCGACTGGTACCTACGGTCTACCCCGGACGAATACAGGCTGTCCCGAGGCGGCAGGCGTGACCTGGCGTACGGGCGTCCGTAAGCATGACACCGAAGACGACGACGCCAGCAACCAATGGACACACGGCCTGCATTTTGATGGTGGATTCTGGAGGGGCGACATGCTACAAAAATTCTGCATGAAGGTGGGTGAAGAATGGATGAATGGATGAATGGATGAATGGATGAATGGATGAATGAATGAATGAATGAATGAATGTACGGATGAATGAATGAACGGACGAACGAACGGATGAATGAACGAACAAATGAAAGAACGAACGAACGAATGAATGAATGAACGGACGGACGGACGAACGAACGAACTAATGAATAAATAACCTTTATCGTACGTTTGTGCTCTAACAAGCTAAGTACATGTCATGAATAGACAAGGAAAAGGATGCAGCAATGACACTTAAACTATAAATACTGAAGTGATCAACTATTTACATGTTCAACTTCTAGCTTCTTGACGCAGTTATAGATGTACGAGCATATAGATATAAAATACATGGTTTTTCAAGGTTCATAAGAAATGATACAACGTTTCTTAGAAGTTTTCACAGAGTATATACGTAACCTGTTCTATTTCATACAAAGCGTTTAATTAATTGAGGCTTCTGAAATACACTGTGTCCCGCTTCGGCTAGCGTGCGAACGATACTTTAACATGTTTCCTGGTTTACTGCCTGTCTTCTGAAATTAAAAGTCGGTGTTGACAGCAACCTGAAATATTGGTATAGGCAACCGAACTTGTGGCTTAAGTTGCCTATCGGGCCACCCGAGGAAAACGTATTTTGAACCCTGCATGTATCGTCCGATGTTGTATTAAATATGATTTTCTTTCGTTCTCTGTAGACTATCTCAAGTGACGGATCTGGGAGCTGGCAAAGTGGTAGTTACTGTATCTTCAAGAAAAGCTCGTGCCCGCCAGGTACGTATTGTTAATAATCGTATTAATAAAGGCCACAGCAAGTAATTTTTATGGATGGCATGAGCGCGCGCATTTATTTTCGCCTTATTTTGAAAAACAAATTTTGTTGCCTTCCGACAGTGGTCAACATGCTAAAAATGGGCAAAGATGTCTGATACTATGCCGGAAGGTGGCAGATAAATATGAAGAGAGGATACCAGATAAGGCTCTGATTTAATGTTTTGTCTTTTACTTTGATGAAGTGATGTATTAGCCTGAGTACCATCGTTCGTACGTAGTTTCCGCCCGCTTCTTAAATAATGTCGCTGGTGGCAACCAAGAAAAAAACATAAAGCAATAGAAAGGAAAGTTTCCATCTGACCCAAATTTATGTTACCTATCAGTAAAAAAAAACAACAATGGCGTTGGCAGATAAACACGTTCCAACTTTCATAGCTATATACATCATTGAATTGAGGTCTGCTTGCGCTGTTCAGTGAATAATTCTGAACGCAACCTTCTTTGCAAAGGTAATACGGATGTTGTATTTTTTATGAAAACAGCAAAAACATAAATACATACAAGATGACGTCGCACTCAAGTTCCATGGAACTTATATTAACGGCGAAATCTACACAAAATGATTAAACAGAGATATACTGATTACATGGACAAATAAACAAATATACAAAATCTGAACAAGCTAATTGGGGTTTAGTGAATGGAATTCAACGAGCGCAAGTCCCAAACCCTACCCCATAAAATTACTGATAGGATACGAGTAGAATAATTGAAGTCGAAAAGATTAATCAGATACCTACATTTTGTTGATGAAATTCTGGGTAAAGCTCTTAATTTTACAATTAGCCTCAAAACTGCAAAAGGATATCCGTAAAGTAAAAGAGTAAAAGATATTTTAAAGAACTATCAGATAAGGAATTTACGTCCAAAATGTGTCCGACTACCCTTGAAAGTTTGCCGAAAAGAAGAATACGCTGATAAGTGTAAACTGGGATGTTGTGTTTGTTTTTTTAGGTTTCCAATCAGGTGAGCTCTTTTGGGACGATGAAGACGACGACAACGGAAACTATCGGAGTGGTGTACTGCCTGACGGGATTTACAACGGGAACACCCTGATCAGATACTGCTGCCGTAACGACGGGAGCGCCAGCAGCCCCATCTCTCTACCTACCGGCAGTCCGTTCTACCTCTTCCGCTACAGACAGGGCTGTCAGAGGGTGAGGATTGGGTCACACTTGATTAATAATTTTTTAAATGACGATTTACCACATTCGTGGAAGGATTGACATAACAGGTTAATATCACCTCTTCAAACATGTCAACCCAAAGACTCCATTTGCATAATTATAAAGCAGGAAATAGTGGTATATGTACATGTAATAAATGTAATCTATGCCAGGTGGAACATCAACAGATACCAATTATCCAAATAGTAACCTAATTTGCATAATCAAGATAAAATTTCTGAGATTGTAAATGATGACAATTATATATTTGGACATGTTAAATTTAACTGAAACATCACTATATATAATGCTAAAATTACCATTTACATAATTCATGAGACGTGTTGAAATGAAATACAACATGTATTGCCAAAGGTTACATATTCACACCCAAATATTGTAATTTAAGTCAAGAAGACCATAAAAAATCCAGATTAGATTATTTTAATTATGAACTTATGAGACAATTCCCCCTAAATGCTCTGCATATTACATGGAGTTATGGAGTCCTTTAATTCTTGTAACAGTTTGTCTTTCTTTGTATAAAGATCCCATACTGTCGCAACATATTCAACAGTATGCTTACAGTAAGGGCTACGGAAAATTAAACATAGTATGATAGATATTTTATTTTTTTTCGTTTGCAGGTTGCTGATATGAATGTCAGAGAGGAGTTCTTCCGTTGGGATGATGAAGATGATGATAATAAAAACCGTCGCCAGGGGGCGTATCCGTACGACGACGGTGGAAGCAGGGACCACCGACTCCACTACTGTTACTATTCGTAGTTTTTGTTTTTTTATTCGGTCCAGATACGACAGAAATGTATCACCTGTAGATCATGAGCATAATTCTTAGGCCACAGCAAGTAAATTATATGGATGACATCCCCAGCAGACGGGCGAAAAAAAAACAAGGTTCCTACATTTTACAATTTTGACTCAATCACTGTACAAATGGTTTTGATTCAGTGGAAACATCGCACATACACAGCCAACATCACATATCACTTCATCAAAGTAAGAAAAAAAACATTAATTCAGAGCCTTTTCTTGTCTCCTCTCTTTATAGTTATCTGCCATCCACCTTCAGGCATGGCAACAGACATCTTTGCCCATTTTTGGCATGGTGACCACTGTCAGAACGAACAAGATATCTTGTTTTTTCCCCCGAAATCAGAAATTAATGCGCGCGCTGATGTCATCCATAAAAATTATTTCCTGTGGCCTTAGTCTCAGCAATGACAAAAATAATTGCTAAGGTGATGGTGTGTGGGCTGCTATGCATTGAAAGAGAGACGAGATCTTGTAGATATAGACGTAACACAGTAGAGTGGCACTTTTTTCTCCTACACGTGTACCTCAGTTATCTAACGTTGTGGATTTGGCCCATGTAGGGCGTGAATATGGAATGGTGTTCATTGTCATAGTCAATGGTATGATTCTACGGGTAATGGTGTGACGTGATTTGGGTATTTCTTAGTTGTTTATTGAATTAGCGTGGATGTAAGGTTTATGATCTGTATCAGTATCAGTATAGCAGGTATAGCCGTCCTTCGGCGTAGCATACCAGCTTCGCAAGCACACGGCGCGGCGGCAGCTGGCTACGTTACACCGTACGACTTGTTACACCTAACCCTTAAACACCTAACTTTAAACATTGTTTAAAGCTACCCAATATTAATGCCCCTACTGTTCTTGGTGACGTTGACAACGAGTTCTACTCTGCGATACAAAAATGTAGCTCTAAGAAAGAATGAGTTTTTGAACACCTCAACTCCCGGTTAACTCTGGTACTTGAATGTGTGATTTTTTTTCTTTTCTGAACTGGTATTACCATTAACCCTACCTAGACCGGGCTTTTTTTGACATGGGGGGACCGGGGGGGGGCTCTTTTGACCCCCCCCTAAGAACTCGCGAACGGTATGTCGTATGACCACCAAATTTTCAGAGAATGGTGTACTAGTGAAAATTTATCATATCTACAATTTTTATGTCGTTATGACGTAATATGACGTCATTATGACGTCATTAATGTGATTTTATTGGCCAAAACCGTCTAAATAGGTTTTTCCCTGAAAACCTCCCTGGTATACAACATAACTTTACCAAAAGTGTTTATGACAGAATATTAGTGTGTACTAAGTCTTATGTTGCCCATAGCAACACCGGTGACGTCATGAAATGACGTCATGCATATTTAAGATATCCGTCATCTTGGATCATCAATCTTGAATTTTCTAAAAATAAGTTTTTTTTCATGATAAAGCCTAAAATACATTGTAAACATACTAAACACCTTCATTCAAACCTTTTTCGTAAAAAGAAATGGAAGTATTGATGAAATTTTAATGAAAATAACCCGTATATACCTGCTCTAATGATATGGTCCGCCATCTTGGATTTTGGCCAATGACGTCATCAAATTAGCATAAATTATGCATATTTAATGATAAAATTTACATAAAATTATATGGGATGTTATTAATATTAGAAACCATGAGTAACTTGACATAAAACCCATAAAATTCTATTGTTGAAACAAAAAGTACTAAATTTAGCAAAAATGCCTGTCAGAAACCCGTTGCCATGGCAACACAAAAAATTGTTATCTTATTCCAACGATAGAGAATTGTTGCCAACAATATTTTAGGAAAAGTCACCAAGTTTGGTCGTTCTATGGCTAGCCGTTCAGACGTTAGGTGACATCAAAGTTGCCGCGGGCACTTTTACCCCCCCCCCCCGTCTAGGTATGGTTAAGTATAGTTAATATATATGATGCAATTAACTGGACAGTAGTATGCACGTAATTCAACTTCAAAGTGTATACGGTGTCAGAATATTGAATTCATGGTCGGTACTTATAATAACCTCATATGTTAAGACGTTAGATGCCTCAGATGTTAAGGCTTCATTTCCCATTGGTTAACAGGCCGTAACCTCAAAAGGAGCTGATTATTAGAATTACCGACCACTTTTTGGACCATACCATTTTACAGGGGACAGGACACTAACTGTAGTGTTGACTTGTAGTATCTATCTATTGAAAAACGTATTGTAGTTTAGTTTGAAAATACAACACATTTAAAAAAAAACTATCAATAAAATTTAAACCGAAAAAAAGACTTCATTTGACACCACCACTTAAAGTGACACCGTTTCAATGTCATGTGGTGACTGCAGACAACCATTATATATTTCCACTCTCGCCTAGGTGATTGATAAGAATTGGGTGGTAAAGACCTCGGCTACGCTACAGTGATCGGGTGCCTCACTCTCAAACCCCTTCATCCCTATCCACAATCCTTATCCTTTCTTCGTCTAAATTGGCACATTATGAAGATCCTCACCAAACAAAAAAACTTAAAAAAAACAAAACAAACACAGCCATGTAGACGATTCCCTCCTTTTTCACAATGCAATGATTTAAATAAAAGGATGTCCGTAACTTTACAATCTCCTATTTATTGATTTCTTTGAAACACATTTCTTGACATTATGCCCTAAAAATAAATTCGTTTTCTTTGTCATTCTGGATCATTTCAAAGTGCCAGTAAACGTTACTCTGCCAACACATTAAGCACGAGCGCCACAAGACATGCGAGCAGGATGTGAACTGCAGCTTGATGGGCCTGTAGTGCCGTAGACCCGCCGACGGGACCAGGAGTCGGTGTAGCGGTCAGGCTACAGACGTCTTCCGCCGTCAGTCTGACTCCGCGTGGGAAGGAGGCGGCAGGCTGTTCCAAGGCGGCCTGTTTCAATGGAAAACTAGATAAGTAACATTTGCAAAGCAAATGCATAATGTTCACCTTCGGACATGGTCTGCCCTGTTAATTTTTACTCAAACACATTCATATACTTGTACTACGAGTATGTAATGTGACAGGAGTGGAGCAGACCATGTAATTATAACATTATGTAACCCAACACCAGTCACCATGGTGACAGACGTCAACAAATCATGTCATTGGCCAGGTCAGAGGTTAGTGTTTGGAACAGAAGGGGAAGAAACTGAGTAAAAATAATATGTTTTCCTTGGTAAACATAAATATACTACATTTACATGATTTATTTTAGGGAAAAGAGACTGTCATCAGAACACTTTGATGAATGTCAGACATCCAAAAAATGTGACACAAAAGAAAAAAAAATTACTCAAGCAACCCGATAGGTTTTGAAAGGTATCAGACGTTTCATTGGCTACATTTTGTTAGTATGGTCATTCGTCATTTTATTATACAGAGATACTTCCCAAAACATACACCATAGGCCAACAATGCTTATGCGAGGTTAGATGCTCTTTAGTAGTGGATATCCCGATCGGATTCTTTAACGAATCCGATAGAGAGTGATCAGAAATTTGTTCACGTATTTGGGTCGTTTCTCAATGTTAAAGTCCTAGAAATAAAGTGATTCCAAATGGAAATGGATCAAGGTTGAAAAGTCTTGTGTGCTTTTTAAAAAAGGGATATCTTAAATGTACCGGCGTATCTCCGAATGAATAGGGAAAAATGGTCTTACAGTGTCAACGTTGGACTCCGCACTTCCGGCGCAATACGAGTAGAATGTTGAATTCATGAGGTGTTCGGAAAAGTCTCGTGCTTTCTCGCGAGACCACGGAACTGCCTCCATCACCTCCTTGTAGGTCTTGTTAACCATGTGTTCTGGTGCGGTGATTTGGACATCCCAATAATTGTCATATTGACTGTAAACACAAAATGACAAAAGAATTAATTGCCACTTAAAGAATAAGGCTAAATATGCACTTAAGAACACTACGTGTTGGGGCAATGTCATCTGAACTGTTTAAAATCTCATTTCAAATATTTGAAAGTCACAAAAGAACATTTTTCCTGATAAACTCAAACTACGAAGCAACCTTACACTAGACATTGCAAATACCAGGGAATTACACATTTACAACTTCAAACACAAAGACAACGCTCATCTTAGTGCTACTTGTCATGTTACTATGTACTTACTGAGGTCTCGACCATTGAATAGATGAATGTATGGTTATGGACCTTAATGTCCGGGACATACGTCATTTTATATAAATACAGAAATATACCTACGCTTGTTTAAATACATTTGAAAGCCTATCAGTGGCAAACTACATTTATGTGCCACTTGTCTTGTCTGAATAATGAATTAAGGCATTTCATATTGATCACAACCAATAATTTATTTACAGGCTTACACGTATTACGCAGGTGTTAAAAAGATTGCAAAAACAAGGAAAAACATATATTCAACAACTTAATTACAATTTATTACAGTGTGAGGAGTGCTTGATTTTAATACGCACATTTCAAAGCTCTCAACTCCAGCGAAGCGAACGGTATGGTCTATGTTAGGCATGCTTTCGCATATATTCATGTTAAACCTCGGGTAGTACAGGAAGAAGCTCTCACACATCTCATCTGGTGTACCCAGTCCACCCTAGAAAAAAACAAACAAACAATTAAACAGAAAAATAAACAGAATAATAAAATTGTCGATGTATATTTCTGACATTTATGTATTTCGTTTGGCACCAGGTATTAATTTGCAAGGTAACCTTCTTTAAAGGAAAATTTTTAAAAAATTACAGCGTAGCTTTACTATACGCTACAAATTCACGTCCATGTATGGGATACCAGAAAACCGAGTGCGTTATCTCGGCTCCCGCATACAGGGAGCACATGAGAAAATCTCGGCGGCCACAGGAATAGTTATTATCTCCATAATGTACTTTTATCAATATGTTAACAATCCTCTCGAAAAAATACAAGAAGTAGGCTTTCATTTCATGTATCACAAGTATGTGTAGAATCTTTTGTAAAGCTACAAGAAGGAGAATACTATGTTTTAGTGGATCACCTTTTCAGCTGGGTAGGCAGTTCAGTACTTAGGAGAGCCTGCATGTAGTCATAAACTTACCTGTAGTCGTACTTGGGTGAATTTTTTGTCTGCTATATACTTCTGATGTTGTCAGGAATGTTGTAGTCTCATGTGACTTTGAGTATCATAATACATGAATTTCATAAGAAAGGCATTTTATTGCATTATTACCATTATTTAGCTATGACTGCTTGTACTAGGTTACTTTTGGAAGCCATGTATAATAAGTGAGACCAGTATATCAGTAGGGTCTGGAAACCCCAGTACAGGGAGCATGTATAGGCCAGAATGGCCAGCAGGACAAGGGTTAATGCAATTAACTATACGGCCAATGTTGAAGAAAAAGGGAACTCTACTTACATATGTGACAGTATCTTTGTGTGCTGAGTTGTAGATGCACTCGTTAATCAGAGTGTCTCCCTGTAAATTATAGTACAGACTTAACCCATTACTGGAAAATTTCGGTCTGGTAGAAATAATTATATTTGAACATACATGGAATACATTTATGATTACAAACAAAAGTACACACCATAGTTAAATATGCAAATGTTTTATAGAAATACATGCTAGCTTTAAATTACTATCAAGTGGTCAATTAAAAACATTTAAGATCTAATTGTTAATACTTTAAAGTTGCAGTATATCTTTTCCCCTTCTTCAAAGCTTTAAATTTAATATTAAAGTCAATTCAGAATAAAGAATGCCACTTTTGGGAAAACTGGTCAGTTAATTGATTATTTACCTGAAGGAAACACGTTAATTATAAAAAAAAATAACATAGCATACAGTGACTTCCTCCTTTAGCACACTGGTGTTCTGCAGGTTTATTATAAATTATAAAATGATAAAAATGAATAACATATTATACCGGATAGACAGTGACTTCCTCCTGCAGCATCCTGGTGTTCTGCAGGTTGAAGTCATAGTTGTCATCTTGCGCGATGACTGTCTCCACACCTTCATGGATCAGCCTGGTGTTCAGTCTGACGCCCAGCAGATGAGAATGCAACATAACCCCGATAATCTTGATGGGTTCACCGAGCTCCTCTAAAAACTACCGGTAAAATAGGTCAAACATAGTTACTCATTGACAATCAACTGAATATGGATTTGGAAATGGTCAGACGCTTCAACGTATCTTGAATGTCTTCACCGACGTACAAGTAAAATTGGTTGTGCAGCGATCTCTACGTGTTGGACAAGATGAGGCCTTTAGAAAAGGAAACGCATTATACAGAATTGGAGAAAAAAATCTAAAAATTTACAATAATGATTAAAAAACATATCCGTGAATAGTTTCATCAGGTTGGTAGGTTACTGAGTACACAACAAAGTGTTTTGCTTCGGTGACCATCTGACACCTTCCTCAGGGCAATTTTGACTGGTTCACATCGGATTGTAGACACAGTTCCCTCAAATGTTCTCTCAATGGACAAACTCCCTTGGCATGCTTATCTCTCTATCTGGCCGATTTCTACTCTTACCAGCCGCCTCCCCAAGCCTGGTAAAGGCTAGTACTCACTGCGGTTAGACACTGTGAGTTGCAGAACCCGACAGATGTAAAGTCCACGGCATGAGGAGGGATGACGTGATATTTGTTCACAATCACGCCGACCACAAAGGTTCCTACATCGTTATCTCTCAGGTCAGGTGTGTACGTCATTCTGACGCCGGAACTGTCGTGAATTCCTGTGGACGTGTGTGTAAGATTTAATGTTATTTTGACAGAATAACATTAATAACAAATAATGTATAGTACTACGCATACGTATTTACTCCAATACGTTGCAAATAGACTAAATAGGTTCAAATTAACCTTTATGCAAAGAAAATCGAAGTAGTGATGAACTTTTAAGAAAAATAGCTCGGATTAACCTGATCTAATGATATGGTCCAACATCTTGGATTTTGGCCATTGACTTAATAAAATAAGCATAAATTATGTATATTTATTAATAAAATTACATTAAATTATATGAGATGTTAGTAACTTTATATAGCATGTGTAAATTAACATTAAATCCTAAAAATTCATCGTTTAAGCCCAAATAACTGATATTTGAAAAAAAAGAAACCCATTGCCATGGCAACACGAAAACTTATCATCCTAGCTAACTGCTTTGAAATTGTTGCCAACAATATTTTGGTTCGGTGGCCCAACGGCAAGCCGTTCGGACGTTATACGACATCAAATTAGCGCGGGCACTTTTACCCCCCCCCCGTCTACATAGGTTGAAAGGCTTTCAAAGTAGTTTTATTTATAAATTGTAAGAAAAACAAAAAAATTCCATACCTGACATCAGCTGCGGGTTGTCGTAGTGGACCTCCATGAGCAGATGGCCCCCGTTCTCATCGTCATCGATGGGGTAACCAACGTGCTCGGGATAAACCACGTCCTGTAGGGGAGGCAAGAAACATCGTTGTTTTTTACTTAGGCATAAACAACTACAGTAGGGTTGTTTTTGCATCCGATACATGCAAAATTGTCGCCGAGGTCTATCTCAGTTCGGACAAAATTACTCCATAAAACTAAGCATTTTTGTGTGTTGCGTTACTAGCTTTTATAAAAATAGGTTTTAACATATGCCATGTCATACACCTATGATATACGCAAATGATGATACGCCAAAAAGCAGTTACTCAAGCAACTGGATATGATTTTGGAAACGGTCAGACGTTCCAGCTAGAATCCACTAGCTTTCATCACTGACGATTTTTCCAAAATCATATCCAGTTGCTTGAGTAACTGCTTTTTGGCGTATCGTATTGCCTAGATGTCTAACCTTCATCGACGTACAGATGATAATGATTAAGTACAGAAAGCCATCCATCCATTCATTAATTTACTCCTTAATGTATTCATTTATTTGTCCGTTTAACTTTAATCATTCATTCATTCATTCATTCATTCATTCATTCATTCATTCATTCATTCATTCATTCATTCATTCATTCATTCATTCATTCATTCATTCATTCATTCATTCATTCATTCATTCATTCATTCATTCATTCATTCATTCATTCATTCATTCATTCTTCCATCCACTTCTTACTCTGAACCTACCCCTCCGCCGATGCCCCATGCCATGACGAGGCTCCCTTCGTAGCAACCATACCAGTCCTGAGGCATGTTGGGAGATTGACACTCATGTCCCGGATGTTCCAAGGGTGTGATGGTGATGTTCGGGTTCGTTTTGCACTTGTAGATCAACACATGATGGAACACGCCTTCATTACCCGGGGTAACGATAGGTGCTACCTGTTACAAGATATAAGATTAAATGTAAATATTATAAGACGGAAAGCAGAGCATTTGACAATTCTTGTAATGATATGCATGATATCTCATCGTGTAACTTGCAAATTGTGCCATGGTAGTGGTTGTGACATGTTACAAAAATGACGACATCAGAAAACAATTATTTAGCACTGTGTCCAAAATCCTCCCTTACTTCCCCACCATTCCCTACCACAAAAAAAAAAAAACAATTTTACTACTAAAATCAAAGAACCCACATATTAAAGAAGAAGTGGGTAAATTCGTCTTCCAGTGCCTAAAAAGAAGAAGTCAAACCCAGTAAAACTAGTACCATGTATGTTATAGAATATAGTATAATGCTAGACGTAGATGTAGTCTCACATACCACTGTATTTTCTTTATTATGTTGTTTGTAACTGTAATTAGCTCTCGGGCAAGTACTTGCAATAAACTTTCTATTACAAAAGAATAGTAAACTATTCTCCATCGCTAAAGCTATTTAGCAGCAGATGAAATAAACAAAAACATTAAAACAGTTTGATTCCCTGTCGGATGCCAACATTTGGAAAACTGACTAATCTTCATGGACTTTATGTCAATGATATTGATACTATACCTTGATAACGTGGTGTTTGCTGCCCAGTTTTGGCAACTCGAACACACGGCACCAATATGTCGTGTCCTTCTGATCAGGAACCAAGACCTGGATCAAAACACAGAACATTGCAAAATGCAGAGGTCGCTACTAAAAAGTGGCAATGATACGACAACAGTAAGCTGTAAGCAATTTTTGATATAATGATAAATCATAAAAATGTAAGATCTTTATTATATTTACCGAAGGAAAATATATTGTTTTTTACCCAGTTTCTTCCTCTTCTGTTCCAAACGCTAACCTCTGACCTGGCCAATGACATAATTTGTTGACGTTGGCTGGTGTTGGGTTACATAATGTTGCAATTTCATGGTCTGCACTGCCCAGAGACCAGAGGGAAAATGCAGGATTATAAGCACTAACTAAAATTGTCTTCACTTTATTTGCATATAAATCAATAGCTTGTACTTATAAAACTGCATTTCCCCTCTGGTCTCTCACTCACTGACGAAAGCTAGTGGATACTAGCTGAAACGTCTGACGTTTAAAAGTTATATCCAGTTGCCTGAGTAACTGCCTTTTGGCGAACCCTTACGTTGTTCATGAGTAGATCCAGTGAGTAGGTAGTTCCTGCTGTGGCCGTCTCGATGAGTTTCCTGTTGAGGAGAAGTGTGGCCCTGGCCCCCCGGTTCGCCCCGTGGTAGACCGGGCCGTTCTCTCCCGAGTCTTCAGCCGGGTCCTGGTCATGCCACGCCCACAGAACACGCATGGTGTCCTCCTGAACACGACAAAAATGACATAGTAAAAATTTATTTATTTATTTTATTTTTTCATCTTAAAGACACATGGGTGGTCCCTTAACCCTAAACAGTACACCTGGGGTCCGCGCGGACCCCAGCACCATATATTCTGTAATATCTTTTTTGTTTCTAAAGATTTCTTTCTGAAATTTTAGGTAATTGTCACCCACAAAGTTGTCTCTCAATACAGTGCAGAAAACTCCGTTTCTACCATTTGTAAAAAAAATTATATCTGATTTTCTTTTGGGGTCCACGCGGACCCCAGCCGGCTTTCGATCATTATGGATACACTGGCGTTCTTATACATTACCTTATTTCTGTTTTTATATGTTTTTATGCACTCATCGTATGTCTACCAAGTTTTCAGAGAATGGTGTAGTAATAGAATTAGATCTTAATAACTTTGGTGTAATTATGACGTCATATGACGTCAGAGCTAATAATATAGTCGGCCATATTGGATTTTGACCAATGACGTCATCAAATTAGCATATTCTATGCATATTTAAATGATTTAACTTATATTTAATTATGTAAGATGTTATTAATGTTGGAAAAGAAGTGTAATTTAATATATAACTCAGAAAATTTTTATGTTTAAACCAAAATTACTTCTATTTTTAAAAAAACTGCCTGCTAGAAACCCGTTGCCATGGCAACACAAAAAAACATCACCTTACTAGTATTAAACTAATATGAACTTTTTTCCAGAGACATTTTAGGAAAGGTCTCCAAATTTGATACTTCTAGCGCAAGCCGTTTAGCCGCTATCTGAGATCAAAGTTGGGCCTCAAAAGCCCCTTCAGTCTGAAATGGGTTTAAAAATCGGGTATTTCTTCTCGTCTTCTTTTCTTCACCACAAAATAGAAAAAGTTCAAAATGTATGATTTTTGTATGTAATGTGGACACAGAGGTTCCCACATCAGTTTGCAAAACAATGGAGCTGGTAGCATGTTGATAATTTCTAAAAATTAGCAAAAAACTGTTCTGGGGTCCGCGCGGACCCCAGGTGTACAGATTAATCAGTCCGGGAAGGTGTTCTGTTGAGGGTTAAACGTAACAGTGAAATCAAAATACAAGGTCTGTCAGAGGTGAGATGTCAGAGGTCAAACTTGTGTAACAGGATCTTTATTGAAATATGCTATATTTGGCTATATTTAGGTGTTGTAGACTATTTGCCTACTTTCGCGTACAATGTACCGTTTAGAATATCCAGGTTCAATCTGATAGGATTTGTTTTTTTTAATTTAATAAGACAAGACGAGGCTCTGACAAAGTCGTTTCAGTTAAAAAAAGCATGTTATAATAGCTGGCAGCACTACATGTTGTAATCATCATCATCATCATCCACTGTATTCTGCGTCTACAGTCGTGTAGAAATGTCCTGTTGTAATAGTTGCATCATTTAAGTATATTATTTCTAATTTTTTAGCCAGGTTCGTGATATAGAATTTAAAAATGTAGAAACCTTTTTTTGGCCTGCCATGTTTTTTTCGCCCTATCTCATTAGATTTGCAGTCTGCTAAGGATGCCATCCACAAAATGTACTTGCTGTAGCCTTACTCACGTTAATAACGCGGTCCTTCTCGTCACATGTCGTCAGCTCCCTGTTGAACCTCAGGACGGTGTGAGTCCCGTTCTCGTACCCAGACAAAAGCTCCCAGTCCTGGCTCTCGTCCACAGGCGGCTGTGCCTTTGCCTCAGCGTAGCGGTCCTGGAATATAACATGTTAGTAACGACATTGCAGTGTACAAAATACTTTTTTGAACCAGGTTGCCAGTGGGTAAGCTACGGCAAAAATTGGGTAACTACTCCTCAAATTAAGTAATATTACAAACATAAGCATTTGTCAATATTTCTAACAGCCTTTAGTTAACTGATACTAGTAATAGCAATTAATACCTAAAATTAAAAAAAAGCATCTGCCGGATACAGTGGTGCAAGCCACGTGGGCATGATTGGGGGGGGGGGGCATTCTTAATATTCAGGTAGCGCACTGGGCTACCTAGGTTCAAAAAAAGGTTGCCCTAAGTAAAATTTGGTTGTCCGGGGCAACTGGGCAACCAGGTATTTTGCACGCTGCATTGTAGCGTTTTGTAGCGTTAGAAAAACATTCCATGAGTCGTCAACATAACATTCAAATTGATTCAATAGAACATTGCATAAGAACACTGGACAATGAACAAAACGGCTATCCACATCAATATTTACACCTATCTGTGGTTACAGGGAACTGTATATACAATGCGGTCAAAAATATCCGCTCATGTGTGTAGATATGCAAATACTTCACGTTTGGAAATGCATCTACAACAGCGACACCTGTGCTGCAGTGCAATGTGAACCAGTCAGAATTGCCCCGAGGAAGGTGACAAACGGTCACCGAAACGTCGGCTGATTAAAAGACTTGGTTGTGTAGATAGAGTTTCTTTGCTCTTCTTTGCTTTTCTTTACTTACCAACCTGATGAAACTATTTACGGATATTGCATCCTACCCCTAATGGCACCAAGACCCAAAGTTAGGCTAAAACGTTCTGTTAAAACTTTACTTTTTATTAAACAGCTTACGTTGTTTTAGCTGTTTGATTAGTTATTCTGAATCACGGGAAGGGGAGGGGTGGTACGGTAAAAAACACTTTATAGGTGTACATCTATCAGAAAATTAATAGTGATCCATTTTCTTAGCATTACTCAGTGACTGTGGTATTTCTAAGGCCTCTTATCCGTGGTAGGTAAATAGCTATATGCGTAGTTAATGTTTGCTAGCCCTCACTACGCTGCCAAAGTACTCAGAACATAGTTAGACCAGACCGCCTTAATTTTATGGATGACATCCACGCGCCCATTGATTTTTGCCTGTTCGGTAAAGGAAAAAAAAAAAAAAAAAAAAAGGTCACGTCCAGCGAGACTCTGGCCTTGCTCTAGACCTGGGTAGTCCATGGTAGTTAGCGACCAAACGGAGCCGGGCACCCAGGCTACCGAAGCTACACTACTCCAGAACTCAGTAGATACGTACAGTGCCGATTAATAAATTCCGCAAAAAGCCAGCATGTGCCGGCTTGCCGTGAAAGCCGCTATGTATGTACTGCCGCAAATTCACAATACCAGCTTTGTATTCCTGTGGTTTAGTAGCATTTTTATTTTTGGCCGGATTTTTTTTATTCGCCCGCGCGCACTAGTTTGGGGGTCATCCATAAAATTATGTCGGTGTGGCCTTCCTCAAATAGAGTTATGTAACCCAATGACTTCAGAGCAAATAAACCGGGAGGACGTTGACCCTTGCGTTAGATGAGCTTTGATAACACTGATAACACGGTGACCTAAACGCGAATAATTCCATAGTCCTTGTAGCTTACAGACCCTATGTACTTTAATCCTCTACAGATCATGCGTCCACAGCACCGTGCCCGAGGCAAACTGTTTTTTTTAAACAACATAGAAAGAAAGTTTATTGCAAATACATGCCCGAGGGGTAATTGCAGTTACGAACAACATAAGAAAAAAAATACAGTGGTATGTGAGACTATATCTACTTCTAGCATTATACTATATTCTACAACCAACATGGTACTAGTTTTACAGGGTTTGACATTTTAGGCAATGGAAGGCGTATGAAGTAAGAGACACGGGGGACAATGCTAGCACATTGCTAATTTTAGCCTCCATACTGATAAAAAAGAATTTAATCAATAACAAATAATCAAACGCAAAATAAGCATTCCAAAATACCCGAAATAACATTTAAACATTTAAAATGAGTCATTCTATGAAATAAAATGTTTTAGGCAGTTTTGAACATTTAGTCAATTTTGATCCCTAGTTCTTACATATGCGGAGATTATTATATCCAGAACCGTGCCTGACCTTAACCTGGTATCCAGTCTTACGTGATTGGGGTGTCCAGGCAGGTTATGCCTTCGGGGGCTCTAATAGCTTTCCCCGCCCAGTGCAACAGGCCGTCCCGGTAGGAGTGTTACGCTAAAAAAGAGACAGTATGCTTGGGGGATGTTCGTGGAAGGCTATCCCCCAATTTCTCGTGAAATACACACCGGGAAACCTATGTGATGCGGCCGGTCAGAGCTCTTGCGGCCCCAACCACGATCAGACTGGATACCAGTCTAAACCTTAACCCATTCAGGTATAGATTATAGTCTTCACAAGTAACGGCAGGTTACTAGCCTGGTTAACCAGACCGCCGTGAGCTCAGCGCTATCCCTTCGGCGCCGAGAGCGTTTGGGGCCGCCAACCAGGCCTTAATTACCGCGCTTCGGGGGGGGGGGTAGGTTTCTTTGCTCACAACGTCGGCCCCAACAGAAGACTAAGCGTAACACAGGAAGTCAGCGGATACAGGGAAACCAGCTGAAGATAGGTCCGTGGCATAACTCACCTGTGCTTAGTAAAGGCCGGGGCCGAAAAATTACCGCCGAGCCGACCCAAGGTTTGGTACCCAGGCTAGCAGGTTATTACAAGAAATAGCTTGCAGACATAGAACTGACCGTGAGGTGGGCAGTCCCGTCTTTAACCCAGCCGATGACGATGTCAGAACCCGGCATGCCTCCGTTCGGAGACAGACCCAAGCCGACCCACCCTGTCGTCTCTACCCGGGCTTCGAACTCGATCTTATTCTCGTCAAACTTCCAGAACAGCTGGAACTTTCCTTCTTCGTCCAGAGACTCGTGGTGGCTGAAGCCATCGTCAGCTGCTGCTACAAAATTTACACCGTATATAATAGTTGTAGCTGAAACTACAGCACAGAAAAAACACAGAACACCGGCCATTTTGTCTGCTGCAGTTGTACTGATGTAACTAGTTGTTTATGGCCGATGGTTGATTCTTTGATACTCAAAGAATGACGTATGTGTCTCCAAAGTAACCGACCGTAACGACCCCACTATCAGGACGCTCCTAACAAAAGGTTCTAGCTGTCGGTTCAAGCCACATTTAAACATGAGTCATTTGTAGTGAACGAAAAGCAAACAACCAAAAGCTAACAAAGCCGTACTCATTTTGAGGGTGTTTACGGTGCGCAAAGGTTATCCCCATTTGGTGTTGGAGTCGCTCGCTCGGTCACTCACTCACTCATTCATTCATTCACTCACTCACTCACTCACTCACTCACTCTCTTACTCACTCACTCTCTCACTCACTCACTCACTCTCTTACTCACTCACTCACTCACTCACTCACTCACTCACTCACTCACTCAATAATTTATCACGGCTACTAATATTTCTGTACAGTAATCATGGCGTTTTTACCTCTCCACTTGAATGCCTATTTAGTTCTATGGCTGAATGGATCAGGGTTCACGGTGGTAAAATCTGGGCTGTAAAGTTCCCACATTTCATAGAATCCGAACAGTGTTCGATCGTGTTCGATCTGGGCGATTCGAATCGAACCCGCGTTCCATTTCGGGGTCACATGCGGTCATTTACAATAAAGCGGCAAAACAAGCCCTTCTGCCTGAGTGACTCGCAACAGATAAAAAACAACACTTTTCTATAGATTCAAACAGTTTCCAGGACACTACATGTCCGCTATCATTTTTTTGTGGACATGTAACATGTAGCAAAGCTACTGTCGTATCCTTGGGTGACCTTGAATGCTGTAATGATTCTTTACGCCTTTATGAATACACGGTGCACACTTTTGGGAGATATGACATGTCTGCAAAACTCGTTCAAACCTGGAAGCGTGGAGAGTCAAACATACCCCAATTACGGCTCAAAATGACTGTCACGGTTGTCCCGAAAATCGTGCTTTTGGGATTTTTTGAAACATGCGTTTCATTTTGAATTATGGGTAATTGAGTCCTAAAAAAGCCCAAAAATTCGATTTTTTCACCTATTTGTCGACAAAAAATATACTTATAGTCAGAAATTAAAAAAATCCCAAAAGCACGATTTTTCGTCTTATTCCTAGTCGTCGAAAAATATAAAAATCAGTGATCTTGCGTAATATGTGTAGCCAGGTTTGCTCGGTGATTGGCTAAAATATGACGCTGCGAAATCCCGAAAATTATCGACTTTTTAATGAAATACGAAAAAATCATCCATTTAGCGCAAAAAATCACAATTGAATGTATGTCAAGACGATAATTTTATTTTATATCAACGATATTTTCCCTTCGACACTAGTTTGTTTATTTTCAAATGTTTTGCGATTAGCCCAAAATAGCGTCTTGTAACCTGATACTTTATCGAACGCCCCCAGCAATGGGAATGAATGGCCTAGTGACAGACCGCCGTGGTTAGGATCAGGCACGGTTCTCGATATTGTGTCCGTGAACATACATGGACGTCTATTAGCTCCAGACATAGTTTTTGATAACTACCAGTTATTAATTTTATCTTATCTCTTCTTATCTTGTGTTTCTAGTAATATGTTAACAGAAGCGGCGCTAACAATGACAGGGTCAACAGAATATTTAAAAAGAAATCAGTATATTTCTTGCTCTTGTAGCAAACCTATGGTGAACAGGGCAACACAGTTTTATGTAAGTTTCCATGCAGTTTACGTTTACGTTGAAAGTACTGTCATCGTTAAGATGATTTCAAATGTGCAACGTTACGTATTGCTGTTTGCAAACTATAGTTGAAAAACATACCATACACAATAAAAGACACTGAAGCTTTCATATGAGTGTGGCCATTTCTAGTGTATTATTAACTGCATTTGAATATTCAAGTTTACGCCATACACATAGCTTAAGCACGGTTGTATTAGGTCATGATCACGACAGTTATTAAGTGATAAAAATTCTGCGTTATCTGTTTGATTTGATTTATTAAACTGTATAAACGAATATATACAACCAGGACTGCCCATCTAGCCGGAGGCTATTATAAAGGGCTAGCCTTCCCAACAGGACAATAAACAATTAGAAATTATTAATAATGTCGGTTACAATTCAGATGCATTAACAGATACATTAACATGCTATCATATAACGAATGAGCCATTCTCAGTACGGAGTCGGCCTGTGTTGTTAGCCTAATTTCAACAAGCTAACTAAAGGTGCCATTAAAACATTATTGAACATAGACTCATCGTGTTATAGTTTGTTTATTAATACACAAGGTAATACAGCCACATTTTAAGCTTATTATTACATTAATTATGTTAAAATTACAATTAGAAACAATTCAGCCTATTCTGTGTATTTGCCATTTCCCCAAGTTATATGTCAGACACCCTTATTGAGTTTTAGCTTTATTACAAATTATGCTACCTTTTTATACCGTGCTAAAACGTCTTTAACTCTAAAACAATTGTTGTCTTTTCCAAACAAGACAATCTATGTATCAGATAACTCGATTGTTTTGGGTATCTTCTTCCAAACACGAATATCATTTGCACGATTATTATCAGTGTATTATGTACCTTAAAAATGACATATCGTATACATGTATTTTCATGCAATGTTCACGACCACAATGCCAATGTAATCTAATGCAGCAATATATATCTATATATATTTATCATACACATTTCTTCCCAGTGCATGTGCACATGTCACTATTTCTTTATATATACAAAAAATTAAACGTACATAGTCATTGTGTCATGGACTTTTAAAACAGTGGATGCTATTTGATGACTTTAACAATAGCGGGAGATATTCTATTTCTAATATATGTAGAGTAAAACCCACACTTTATTCTGTTGCTACATAATTTATACAGATCGTATACAGTGCATAATTGTTTTTTGAAACCATGTCAGGAACGCAAAACTTATTTATATTTTCAAGTTTTTTTTTTTGTAAATTGCATTTGCTATCAGCAACGTTTTCGCCTTGGTTTCTGAAGTTTATAAGAAAAAAAAAACTTTTTTTCTTAACAACATGCTATTGTGTTAAAAGATAAAACTTTTGTTCCAATACAAGAAATTTTTCTCACCTAGAGCTTTGGACCAATAACTGTTGCACTGGTTCAATCTATTGAAGAAGACATTAGTGACTGGTCGAAAGCCACAGACGAGAACAGTCTTTTACGTTAGAACAACAGTTTTAACGTTTAACATATAATTACCAAGAACACACATGATAATATACTATTATAACCACCATGCATTAATCACACGTAAGGGACATTTTAAAAGCATTGTCGTCATAACAATAAACTAAGAAATCCCCGTTTGTGTTACTAACATTACATTCAAGTTGAACATGCTGATCTCACCACATGGTGCAAGACACGTTGTCTAACCTTATCTGTCTTTCTCCTTTTTCCTCCCACGTGCTTCTCTTTTACAAGACTATCTGTGATGTCAGTCCTTCTGTGGCGTAGCCAATAGGTTTTTCAGGAATATAGGGTGTTGTCATTTGTTCTTCTAATAGATAAAAACAAAGATACAACTTAATTACTATTATTTATTTTACAAATGAATGCGTCATCTGTGTCACCTTGAACGTGACAACTTTACATACTTACCCAATGCTAAATATATGTATAAGATTGTAGAAAGATTAAAAATCCCATTGATAAATTCCAATAAACATAACCATAAATTATACAAGACTTTGCCTTTAATCTGACGTATTCCAACTATTATAAACTTGATGGTTTTTGATCATAATTAACAGGAAATTATTGATAATAAGATACTGAATAACACCCGATTTACAACTGGCTACGCCACAAGTTATTCACGGATACCATTTGCTTCTGCTCTTCATTGTGGACTTATTTCTTTAGACGCCGGGTGGAGTACCGGCTTGAGAACCCGGGTTCTGCCCAGCGTTCATGTGGACGTTACCGCTAGACCCAAAAGCCGGCGTGAGGATTCCTCTCAGTAGGTCCACGGGGAGTGGGAAGATGATGGTGGAGTTCTTCTCGGCGGAGATGGCGTTGAGGGTCTGCAGGTAGCGGAGCTGGAGAGCCGCGGGGGACTCGGAGATCACCTCCGAGGCTTCCTTCAGGGCTCTCGATGCGTTCTTCTCTCCCTCAGCAGCGATGACCTGGAGGCAACAGGTTGGTAAACGTTATTGTTTGTTACCAGGAAACACTAAAGCTTCATTCAAGGTTTCATGTTTATGGGGAAAACAGCACGTGTCTAAAATGAAGGGAAAATGGCGTCGGGTGACGTATGGTAGATCATTCGACTGTGAACCGGGAGAGCCGGGTTCGATCCCGAGTCGTACCCGATTGGGGAAAGCCGTATTGAGGTCACCTTGTGGCGCCGAATGGCAGCCGCACAGACCCTTGCGGCAGTTCCACGAAATGTGGAACAAATATGTATTATGACACGATGATGAAGGTTAGACATCCAGGTAATACGATGCGCCAAAAAGCAGTTACTGAAGCAACTGGATATGATTTTGGAAACGTCAGATGTTTCAGCTAGTATCCGCTAGCCTTCGTCAGTGACTGAGAGACTAGAGAAGAAATGCATATCAATCAATAGGTAGTGCTTATAAAATTGCATTTCTCCTCTGGTCTCTCCGTCACTGACGAAGGCTAATGGATACTAGCTGAAACGTCTGAAGTTTCCAAAATCATATTCAGTTGCTTGATCAGTATGAGTAACTGCTTTTTGGCGTATTTATCATGACATTGTGTATTATTATGTGTATTATTACCATATTTGTATCATCTGATTGTAAACCCGGTTTCAATTAAACACTTTATGGCTACGATTGCACGGGTGATGTTTGGCCAATAAACAGGCTCCAATAAACGATTTATTATTATTATCATCATAAAATGATGTACCTTTGCTCTGGCTTCACGAGTTGCCTCCGCTTCGGCAGCCATTGCGCGCTGAAGTTGCACAGGAAGGCGCACGTCTTTGCTGTTAGAAGGAATAAATGACATTTATTACTCGACAGTTGTACGGCAATGTATGGAAACAATGACAATGCCGCCACTAGTCTTTTTTTAAAACTATAACTACAGGAATATTCACGTGAACGGCGTAGTGACATGGTACACGTCAAACGCTTTTGTCTGTTACAATACAATGTAATATGATACGTAAATAGGGTGTCTGCGCATGACATTTGTTGTCTGAAATAGTCCGTTTGTCTTCGAAAATTTTTTTTTTTACATTTATTATATATCTTTTAATCATTTTTAGTCTGTCTGCAAAATAGGGTTTTTGGCACGTAAAAATTATATCTATCTTTAAAAATGACATTTTAATCCTATTTTTTAAAAAGCTTTAACTTTACTTTTACTCAATAGCATTATTCCGGAAATTAATTTAAATCTGCCTTTGTAAATTACGTGAAAAGCAACCTTATATTCAGTGCTTGACATGTGCAACAGTGTTTTTTGTTTAATGGACGTTGCAAACAATAAAAGAAGGGAGGATTTTACCGTTCATATACCCATAAAAATAATAATTTACTAATACTAGACTTCTCCACTCTTTGCAACTCGTGATATGTAACATACTGGGAATGCTGAGATACATATAGCAAAAAAACAGGTAGCATCTTTTTTTTTATTAAATTGACTTACTGACACAATTCTTGTTTCAAAAGTTCTTTCAGAGAGTTACCGTAAAACTACAAGTTGTAACGACTGATAATTATTACAAAACGGGGCTAATTATTATACAGTAGGTATTAATTATAAACTATCATTGAGATGAAGAAATGTAGCGTCCACTCATTCATTCACAGTGCACAGAGGTTAGATACAGACAGTTACTGACTGCACGGGTTGTTAGCCATAACAAGAAGACACAAGGACAGACAGGGATGGAATGGTGGTGACAGAGATGAAGTTCACTTATTTTTGCTTCCAAAGGTTGATGATCGCAAAGATCTAGTTCGCCAGATGGTATACGGTACAGCCAGCAAGCAAGCGACCTCTGGCGACAGCTGCTGGTGTTGCCTAGGTCTATTTGACTTATTTTACGTATTTGAAGATTTACATTTCAGGTAAGTGACACAAATGCAATGTTTATTTTTGTTTGGTAACGTTTTCAATTATTTTGGATTCCACACAACTCTTCCTTTACTCTGCATTGGATGACCAGATATCAGCATCTGAACCACCTCATCACACCGGTAAACAATGTGCGGTTTTTAACGTGCATGCATATGAGGTGTGACTCTTCCAAAACACTGTACTTCCTTCTTAAGTCCCATCCGAGGGACGTCCCTAACCGAAGCCAGGACCTCATTTTCACATGAGTGAATTGAGGATAGTCATGGTAACCCCTTTCCCAAAGGATTCGAGCCCGGGATCTCTAGGGTTATAGCCAAAAATTTTGCTGTTATACATGCCACAAAAAATGTGATTCAAGCTATACTTTGTGAAATCAATATTCTACAATTACACATATGATTTTTTTCTTATTTTTAGACTTTACTGATTTAATGTCACGTAGTGCATTCACGCGTGCATTGATTTTCACCTAGTACCTGTTCTAACAAAACACTGCCTCTGAGGATCTGGCCCGGGTGCCATCCTCCGCAGTTCATATATAGTAGCTAGCAACAATAGGGAGCCGACGAATAGCACACAGGCTACCAAAGCTCAACGGAAGAATTTACTGACTGTACATTGCCAACTCATAAATGCCGAAAAAGGCCAACATGTGCTTTGCAACATGTGATTGTCATCATAGCCGCTATCTACAACCGCAAAAACTACCATACTAGCTTTAGTATTCCTGTTGTTTGTCAGTATTTTTGTTGATTATTTTATTCACCCGCGCGCGATAGATTGGGAGTCTTCAAAAAAATGCCTTTCAGAAAATTAAGTACATGTGGCCCTATATCATTCGAAATCTTAATACCAACTGGCAAGTTTTTCCTTTGCGAACATCAACCTTTAGATGAACAGGACAGGTCGTACTTACACCTCCACTCGCTCCACCTTCACACCCCAGGCATCGGTAGCTTCATCCAAGGCTGTCTATAGAGGACACACAGAAGGCAGAAAAACTCAGAACAACACACAGACGGCAGGGACAGCTCACAGGTTAACGTACTTACATCTCCACACGTTCGACTTTAACTCCCCACGCATCGGTAGCTTCATCAAGGGTCGTCTGAAAAAAATTCCTCGTTAGTGGTAACGAAACAAATGTTTTGTTAGGTTTAACCCGGGTATATAGCCCGGTTTAACGCACGTTGGAACGCACTTTGGAAAGAATTTGGGACGGCAAAACGGGGTTTGCTTCGTACATTGGATCATTTCAGAAGTCGCCACACCATAACACGCTATACCATGCCTTCCTGTTTGAAGTCTTTGATGAGGAACGGACTTCAGATTGGCTACAATAAATTCACATTTATATTACCATAAATATATGAGTAGAGCAGTGCATTAGGTTGGCATTGCCTTTATTTAGTTCTGTTTTAAGGCCGCGCCGGCTTTTGAAAGAGCTTTCTTGTTTTACTAAAGAGAAGTCAGACAAAGCTTGAGGCATAGTTTCGGACAACTTTTACCTTTAGTTAGGTAGATACTGTAATTATGCTGTACTCTGTCCAATGTTCTTTTGTTCTTGCTATTTGTAATTAGCATTCGAGCAGGAATTTGCAAAAAAAAATGCCATTGTTTTAAGGCATTCAATGCAATTTCTGGGCAGCAAAATTTGCCAGATTACTGTAATATTCTTTGCAGGTTATCGTCATTATTTTAGGCTCAAAGGTGTTAAAATATAGCGTCAAAACAAGCCAAGACAAGCATCTTTGCTTTTGGTACAGCTAATAAAAAGTAAGATAATTCAAAATTAAAAGTGTGATCTCGCCGTTAAAGGGCCATCTATATTGCAAAAATATATAGCAGGAAGCTTTTTCTCCAATTCGAAGCTTCGAAAGTGTCTGACAGACATTGAAACGTAAGAAGGTGAGAAACATACTAGCCAATTGTGTATGAAGAAAAATTCCTATAGGGTAAACATTATGCATTTTCTTTACAAATTCTACCTTTTACCTTTAAATACCTTTAGTTGACAGTATCATATATGGTCAAAAAACACATTACCTGCATTTGGTGGCTGATGTTCTCTCGCTCGGTTAAAATCTCACCCAGTGTCTTTGTACCCAGGACGTTTCGCAGAGTTGTGGCCGCCAGCAGACGGGTTGATCGTTGGGCATTTTCCACATTGGTGACAGAAATGGTTGCGTTCTGAACACGGTAGTATACAACGGCGTCCACTGCTACGGTTACGCTATCTTTCGACAGAATCTGAAAAGAAAGGTGGTGGGCATCGACCTCCAGGTGTCTTTTGAACATGCAATAAAATTGCCGATCTTGTAAACATTCCTTATGATTTTATTTCCACCTTTTTCTGTTTAAAAATGCTAAAAAAATCAGCGTACTTTTTTATTTCATTTTTCCCCATTTCAGTCTATGTGTGAGGCATTGTAAGGAACTTGTAAAGGGTTGTCAACCATTTGTTTAATCACGACTTTCCTTAAATGAGCTGATGGCTGCATGTCCGGAAGGATACTTAATCGCAATGTTTCCAAATATAAGTGAAAAACATAGAATAATAAAAACATGATGAAATTTAAAAAAAAAAACTTTAAAGAAAAGAATGCATTAAAGACCCTTGCGAATACCTCTAATGCTTGGCTAGCATTGCAAGGAATATCATGAATTTACAGAAAAAGATCATAAGACAGGACTGTGTTGTGCCTTGTAATGGCCTATAATGTATGTATTTTATAACGTGTATTGATTGACAGTCTCCAAACGTTATACCATAAGGCGGACCTTCTATATTTTGTGTGCCTTGCACACTGGTAAACTAGAAAAGCCTTCGATTTTTTTTTTTTTTTGAAAACAGAAAGGCCGATATTTGCTCGGCTTTACCACATCCCCCGTACCAAAAATGGACTTATACCCCTCCCGCACTAATGGATTGTTCCTAAATTACCCCTGCCAAAAAAATGTAAAGTGTTTCAATAGTATATGACCCCATACGGAAATGGGATCTTCCAACGCCTTCTGCTGTTGTAACATGTAGAAAAAAGTGTTCAATTTTTTCTGGCTTTAAGCCAAATGGTGGTTATCCCACGCGTATGGAATGCTGTTGACAGTAAAAGTTAACGAATGTACAATGATTGAACAAATGTGTAGAAAATATAATAATGGAAATGATTTGCTACAGACAATTTGATTGCAGAAAAGAAACACTAAAATAGAAGAAGCAGCAAAGACAACAAAGAAGCTAGTAGATGCGTGGTAATTTAATGGTTTTGTTTGGCGAGGTGCGTAAAATGTGCGAGTTTGATGTTCATTGTGCACGAGTGCTGAGTGTCAGGAGAAGAGTAGCTGGCTGCTGACAACCAATCACATAAACCAATCAATTAAAATGTAAACATTACATACATTAAAGGTGTACCTATTTTTACGACTTAGTAATCAATAAAAAGGGCATGCACAGTCTATGCAGACGTTCATAGACCGAATCCTTACAGGCATAGGCTAAATTGAATTTTACAGACACTTTTAGAAGAATAGTGATGGTTTGCGTAAAACCCTATGACAAATAGATATGTAACATGCTTTTATGAACAATTTTGTCCGCAGTTCATGTCGTAAAATTAAACTGGACTCCTTAGTAACCGAGAATGATGACAAACTGTTGTAATTTATTCGTTAGTCCAGTATTTTATTGTTTTTCTTCCATTTGCAGTTGAGCTATTGAGGAGACAATATTGAACGTATATTGGTCTCCCAACTAGCGAAAACAAATGGAAGGGTGTGATGGGGGTATTACGACACCTGCATAAACGGCATGACCCTACCTCTTGAGGAGGCACGTCAAAGGAAACAGTTCTCAAGTCGACCTTCCTGTAGGTGTCGGTGCAAGGAAGACTGAAGAATATACCTGTGGGAACACCATGCAACGATGAACCGCTGTGCCTGAGGGAGGAAGTACGGTGGGTGCGATTAAATGGTGGAAAAGCGTTGTTCCCTGAGTGTGCAGTTTAGGTGTGCAGTCAACAGAGACGATAGACCTTTGAAATTTGAGAAATCGTTCTATTTTAACCATTCAATAGTTTCCTGGCTCTTTTAAATGTTTTCTTGACCTCAAAGGAAGGTATTTTACAGCGATCTTTTCATGATCTCCGTGTCAAATGAGCTTTTTAAGTGTGCCATCAACAGAGACGATAGAACTTTGAGCGTCTAGAATTTAAAAAAAAATTCTTTCAGTTGTAACCGGTAGCGCCTAATGATCATAAAGATCTTCCAAAGACCATCCAATGGTCTCCAGGTTCTTTTATATATGTTTGAATGAACTTAAAAGTTATCAATTACAACGGTATTTTCATGGGTCTCTGTGGGCAGTTTAAGTTGTAGCACCGCGTGTCATGCAGTGGTCATAGCATTCTTCTCCAAGTTTTCGACTTCGATTCCCAAAAATGCACGATGTTGTACCTTGAGAAAGGCACTTTTCACAACTTTCACAACTGTGCGATGGAGTGACGCCAATCGGGCCTTTTGGCTATTTTTTTTTAAATAATTCTGTCCAAACAGAATGCACAGCCAGATTTGGTGTCTCCAATGAGCCAACATCTGCAAATGTTCACTACGAACCGTACACGGTACAGGTTTTTAAAATTTCTTTTTAAGTGATCAACGACTTTTGGTCACCCACTGGTGTTCCTACGGTCTTCGTCCTGTTGATATGTGCCATTAGAAAGGTGGGTGCATGAAAAAAAGGTAATCTATTCACCACGTTTCCACCATTGAGAAGACACCACCATACCAAAGGTTTTTAAAGATATCTACCTCCTGAGGGGGTACATCAAATGTTACTGTCCGCATGTCCACGTTGCGATGCGTCTCCACACACGGAAGCATAAAGATCAGCCCTAAAGATTTTAAAAGAAGAGAAAATATCCTATCATCTGTTTAGCCATGTGGTAGATTTATAAAGTCGAAATTGTATGATGATAAATTGTAGACAAGATGTATGTCAATCTAACCTGCTTGGTAAATAAATTTAATAAACTTAATAAGATATTTATAAAAAAAATATAACATTGACGTATGAAGCATCTACTCTAATGATAGTATGTATAAATTGTAATTATATTTAACATTGACTTACCTTTGAGTATCATTTTGTATATTTGAGTGAAACTGCATTCATTTAAATGTTAGATCACAAACTGTTACGGCTTTTGCACAAAGAACCAATTACCTTCAAGCAGTAAAGAAATTTTAAAAAAGGATACCTGCATCTATTCAATGACAGCAACGTTGCCGTTTGGTATATCTACTTTTGGACAATTATTTCACCAATACGTTATACCCAAAACACACTTGTTACAATCAACAACCATGTTTATATTATCCCTATTATCAAAATGAATTCTCAGAAGGGCAAATACAAAATCAACTGGGGACTTAATAACATACAACTGGCAGGCCATACCCTTCGCCTTATAAGCCAGCGCCACTCAAAAACTGCTATGAGCTGGGTGCCATTAGGGGGCAGAAGGAAGAGAGGTCTGCCAAAGAACACCTGGCAAAGGACCTTTCAAGAGGAGCTCAAGATGGTAAACACAACCTGCGAAGAGGCTGAGGAGGCAGCAGGCCCTACCAGATTAAAGAGACTCTTCTTACACAACAAAGTCGTTTATTCAAGCAACGATTCGGTGACCGTCTGTCACCTTCCTCAGGGCAATTCTGACTGGTTCACATTGCATTGCAGCACAGGTGTCGCTGCTACAGATCCATTCCCAAATTTACAATATTTACATATCTACACATATGCGTGATTGGATTACAGGGAAATGTATCTGCAATGCGTTCCCAAACGTGCGGAAGTTGGATATACTGTATATAGATTATGTATGCATATGTATCTGTAGCAGCGACACCTTTGCTGCAGTTCGATGTGAACCACTCAGAATTGCCCTGAGGAAGGTGACAGACAGTCACCGAAATGTCGGCTAAATAAAAGACTTGGTTGTGTAAAAAGAGTCTCTTTACTCAGTGTCTTACCAACCTGATGAAACTATACACGGAGGATCTAGACCCAAATTGAAACATGCCCGTAGGTACAGGAGGACCTAAGGTCTAAGGTAAGGTAAGGTAAGTTAAGGTAAGGTAAGGTAAGGTAAGGTAAGGTATCGAAATAAGTAATCAGTACATTACCCGGACCCTTGGCTCCACCTGGAACCAGCTGGCCAAGTCGGAATATCACAGCCCGCTCATATTCCTGGACAACCTGAAAACCAAACCATTTAATACAGTAAACATGTTTAAGAAAGAGATGAAACACTTTATAATTATCTTTTTAAAGCAGATGACGTCATACTTTTAGCACCAATATGCAGTAAGTTAAAACTATAATTTCCAACAAAAGACAGTGGACTTACAACAAAGGCCTTCCTTTGTAGTATTACACTGTTACGCACGAACAAAGTTCTGGTAAGCGTAAAAGCTTTCAGAAGAAATCAACCATGTTTCTTCAGCTCTTCTTAAACCTACTCAACTTAATCATCAGTACTTTACTGTGAATCAAAAAACAATACAGATGCAGATTATCCAGATGACACATGTGACACGGTAAACAGAGCTAGAGGATCGTAAGTTGCAGAAAGTCTGTGCCGCCCCCCGTCTTTGTTAAGGGACTTTTGGCAACCTACGATCCACTGCTCACCGAGTCACATCTGTTATCTGCATAACGTGGCGGCACAAAAGGGGTGGATTGTTAATGCCTTGACAAAAACTGGAGTCGTTTGGTTAAGTCCAATTTCTTTTGTTAGAAATTACAGTTTAAACTTGCTGCATAATGAGGTTTGCTGACACAGATGAAAGATAAACTTGGTACCGGAAACAAGATATCAAAACCATACTCTTCTTTTGAACGTTCGTATCAACGGAAAACAAGTAATTGGTTGTGCCAGCGCTAAACAAACAAATAACGTACATTTTGTCTATTAAAAGTGCTTAACATGTAATAAAGATACGTAAATGTGCTAACAGGCATATCAATACCATTAAACAAGGTTAGATAAAACATTTAATCAGTTTTGATTTCTTCTTAATAGTGACTATTAAATACAAAAATGTTTTAATAATGCTTCTCTATACAACCATTTAAGTAGGCTTATCGAACTAATTTTGAAATATCAAATTTGTTTTGATTTTTTGGATGTAGTTGAATTTGCATTAAAAAATAGATTACCTCAATAGTTGCATAGATAAGTATTCCTAAATACATTTATGTACCTAACTAATTTCAAAATCACAATTTAAATACGTCCAGCAACGAGTTTAATTATGTATTTTATGTTAATTAGAAACATGTCATATCAGCTTATGAAATTAAATGATCCTCAATACTATCGACATGATTAATAAGTTAGTACGAGGGTTAACTGTGTTAAATATTATTATAATATAAATATACAATGTCAATTTACACAATTATAATCCAAATGTATTGGCTGCTATTATAGTTGTTCTTTATATATTATGCAACTAGATTACTATCAGATTCTTCTACGCTACCTATTCACAGGACGTCATGCACACATATTATGAACTAAACATCATCTAAACTAGATTAGTTGACCTATATTCTAGGAAAGATACAAACCTGACCTGATGTGAATTGTTAGTTGAGAGGAGGTATGTTAGTTAGGATGATAGAGAAAAGTTGACAGTCAAATGGAATTCAAGTGATCAGTGGTTTTGTGAACAGAAGATATTTTTAAGAAGGGATTTTTTTAATGTGCTTATGGTTCTTTCAACAATTTTCAGATATTCTCGGACGAGAATGCATATTTCTATTAATTTAATTGTGTTGTTTTTTTTATTTAGTCTAGCCATATATGTTTGTAGACCAAAAGGGAAATCTTTGTCAAAAATTCATTTATAAAGGTGAAACGTGTCATAACACATATTTTTGTGCAAAAATACATATTAGTTAGTCTAGCCATACATGTTTTATGTTTGTAGGCAAAAAAGAGAAATCTGTGTCTAAATTAACTCAAATAGGTGAAACGTTTTATAAAAACGGTTTTGTGCAAAAATACGTAATGTTAACTGTTCCAAACGCTGGTATCCAATGGGGGCAGCAAACTCTTGATACATCCACTGTTTTTTAACCACTTGGGAAATGTGGGCACGTTTTTCTATGCCGTACCTTGATGCAGAAACAGAGTGAAATGGGGAAGGTGACGATGGCCATGACGTAGGCGAGTAGCACCAAGACGTATCCACACAATCCGAGAGGCTCGGGCTCGCCCGCTGTAGGGTACACAAAAACAACACCTACTGGTAAGCACTACGTCATGCAGACTGTGGTTTCCTCCTACATTATACACACCTTTATAAAGAAGCAGAGTGAGATGGGAAACGTGAGAACGACAAGGATGTAGGAGAAGAACATCAGGACGTATCCGCACAGTCCCATAGGTGCGGGCTCCCCCGCTGCACAGGAAGAAAAGAAATGTTACGGCAAATGTGGTTTGCAAGATTATTCAACATACTAAACATAAACAAAAAGTACAAGACAATGCAACAATGTAAATTAATGTGAGGCCATTTGGAATTGATTATATGAATGGCATCCTCGCACGCACTAATCTTCGTCCTTCCCTCAAAAACTTTACCATACTGAAAATTGTATAAATCCGCTGCAAAATTAGCAAATATAGTCGTATTAGATATTCGAAAGTTAAATAAAATGAAGATTAATTATTTAATACCATACCATTCTCTGTACTTAGTCATTTGTTAAACATTTTTTGACCACGTAGATTTCATAATAAAGGCAACTTATTTGCTAAGCTCTTTTTTCGCATACTCGCATCGATTTTTGTGTTTCCAGAGGATGTTATCCATTTAATCCAATCTACATGGTATGAAAATAATTCCACAACCTTGACATTTAGAATTGCACTGGAACATATTACAGCAAGCGTGTTTTGCAATTCACAATAATGATGGTTATTCAACACACTAAACATAAACACAAGAACACTGGTGGTGCTGGGACGTAATTAGTTGTCAGCAAAAAAAGTTACCTTTATCACTTTTTAACAAATCATACATGGCACCATGCTGTTATTATTGTAACTAACTAAGTATATATAGACTAATAAAATGGAGACTTATTGTATAACAAGTATAACAGACAAGAGTCAATATAATGCGTTTGCATTCACAGTGCTGTCAAATAGTATGATATATAACCCACTGACATTAAATTCCGTTTCTTCTTGTAAAGTGCTTTTTGAAAGTCATTACAGTTTTACTAAATGGAATGTCCTCAAGACTGTACTTAAACGTATTGGAAATAAGAAGCCATTCAAGGGATGCATTTCTACCAACCATGTCGCTGTACAGTGCTAGGAATTGCTAGGAATAACACATTACACATAGCATCGTTTACAATAGAATCGAAATATAAATAAACATATTTTGCAACGTTAGACATATTGATCAATATAGGCAGGTTAGCGAGGGAAATGTCCTACCTACCCAACTGAACTAATGTAAAATCTACATAGTTTTCTACATTAAACTTGTTTGCCAATCATTTTGCTTGATCCTTCAACTAACTAAAATATTCTAGTTTTCATGAACCGTTGACATAGATTATTTTAGAAGAATAAATATTTCTATGAAATTTCTTTATTATAAACTTTAATCCTCCTTACATTCCTAATACTAGAGACACTGCAACCAAAAAAAAAAAAAAGATTCCAAAGGGAAAGAAAAAAAAAACCATGTTAACTAGAAAGGCCAATATTTGCTTTGGAGCAAATATAGCGATGGGTTCACCACATTTTACGACATGGCAGGGAAAGAATGAGAAACACTAGAAAGGCCAACATTTGCTTCGGAGCAAATGTAGGAATTTCACTCCATACCCTTCCCCAAACAAAAATGAGAGATTCTAAATAAATCATACTGCAATTATACAAGGACAAGCTGTTTGAATCTCGACAGGTATTTACAAAACTGGCACTTGGCAATTATCTCCTTTTTTTTTACAAAGATACAACGACACGCACTTTAAATCTCGACAGCTTTACTTTACACTTTTGACGAGATTGTAACTACTACTAACGGAAGCAAAATTTTCACGGCCTGAGAAAAATGGACATGTTCACGGAAGTATATATTCACGGTGGTGACAGTTGCAGGAAAAAGAAAGTCCAGGAATTATTTCCTAACTGTAATGATAAGTTCACAACACAGAGGTGACAGTGAAAACCGTGAACATTGACCCCCCGCTTGCGTTGCGGTACAGTGAAAAAAAATCGGGAATTACAGCAATCAATTTACTGAGTATGTTTGCTTAGTTTCCAGATGTTTTGTACTTGTAGTTTTTAAATGAACGAAAACCGATGCGCGCACAGATGTTACTTTTGTGACAACATCAAAGTGATTTTGGTTTGTATGTTGAAAAAATACAAAAGACTAACATTCGAAGTTATTGAAATTCTTGAGTAAGAACAATCAGTTTTGGAATGTTAAAAGCAAAGCAATAATATTAAAACGAAAATGTTAAAATTAAATGTTGAAATTGTTAAAATGTAAAATGGTTAAAATGGTTAAAATTGTTGAAATTGTTAAAAATGTTATAATTGTTAAAAATTGTAAAAAGGATAATTAAAAATATCCAGTGTACCGGGGTTCGAACTCGTAATGTCTGGACTTGCAGCCCTGCGCGTTACCAACCGAGATATCTGGACACGTTTCCAATACTCTTTGCATTGTATGTCATATAAAGTGAACAACATGGCGGTAACGATCGCTTCAAGTACTAGTAAGGGACTTTCTAGGAGATACACTCTACAATTTTGGTGATTCTTCAGAAATCGATAACAGAATATATAATACTAGTCGGTGAAGATTGTGGAAAATTGTTGATACCGTGGCGCGCGCGCGTGCGCCGACGATACACATTACGTACCGTTGTTTACAGTACTCACGGGGCGCAGGTCATTGACCTCCCGCTTGCGTTGTTCCAACATAGAAGAGCAAAATATCTGCCAGTTTTTGCGTCAGATTTTCAGTGTTTGTTAAAATCATATACAGGCATCCATGCAGCTATAATTCTTCCAACTAGTTCGTAGTTAGGTGAAATGTTTATAGGAATCACACGAATCGGTATCCAATATCAGAGTATCAAATAGTAATGGCCCACGGCCATATTGTACGTGAAAATGGTAGTAAATAAATTAATTAGCCAACAGCCAATCAACAGCCACATCTGCAAACATGACCACACCTGCTTGTATGCCCATATTTGGGCCTTCCCCCGAATTCCTTTCTTATTACGTCACGCGCGTACGCCCCCACAGTACTTTCCTATGGGGACCACTAAAAAGCAAATAAAACGATTGTAAAAGCTTGTATACAAAAAAATTTAAAAAACGCCTAAGGGTATTTACCCACTCTACCTCTATACGAAATTACAGGTAATTTCGCCCAAAAATGAAGGAGTTGAATCAATTTAAACAAGTGGCAGGAGAAGAAGGAGAAACATCAGAAAAAGCAATATGGGTTCACCACCACTTCGTGGTGTGGTGAACCCATAATTAACTGCAATGTTATAACGTCCCCGTAGAATCCACGTGTCTTGATATAATACAATATAATGTTATTATGTAAAACATAAATATCCATAAATATACCGACATTTTAGTATTATGTTTGACACATATAACATTTTCAATTGACCATAGCTTGTCTAAACTTAATCATTATTGTTTTTGAAATGAGAAATAAATGTATGGTGGGCAATATGCCTCGATCGTAATTACAAGAGATTACAAAAAATAAGCAATGATGGTAGCTTCTCTTTTTTGTCATTTGTCTTGTGTCAATACATTATTGATATTCCCTTCACGTAAGTCTTAGGAAAACTGTCAGCCACCCGCGATCTGTGAGGAATTGCTGAGTAACCTGGTACGACCTTCTGACCTCCGGTCCCAAAGGATCACAGGACCATCTAGATAAGAATACGATCAGAAAGTAGCCCTCCTTTTGTAACCATCTGCACAGAACAGATCACACAAGGCCCAGAGAAAGGTTTTGGCCATTTTTCAACACAGCAAGTTAAAAAAAAAACACGAGATGAATAAGCTGTTAAAGACTAAATGACACCAAAAAAATCCGTAAAATACATACAAATATCGAAAGTGTACATAAAATGTAGTCACTTTGTTCCAACCATGATGACTGAGAAATTGAGCTTGTGCGGCCTTTTAAAATTGAATTTTTGGAGACTCTCTAGCAAGCTTCCCAATCACCCACTCCGAGCATTTATTTTTGCATCTGTGTTTTTCTTGAGCTGACTTGGTGACATCAGCTCAGAAAAAAATATAGAAAAAAGTAGATAAAATATAATAAGATGAAATATAGAAAAAATAAAATGTAGAGATGCCAATCGCCTGCCAGTACTGGCTTGTGCTGACTCTTCCAAGGCAGGGCATTAGAATTTCGAATGTAACAAGAGAACCGCGCATATTTATTGTAAATGTGTCTGTTAGCCAGGTAATACTAGTTATATTAATTACAGTCAGCTAATGTCATATTTTTGTATCATGAGCACTTTAAAGCATTAGAGTGGGTGAAATGTCATCTAGAATGGAGTATTTATAGCAATTCAAAATCTTAATCAAATTCCTGCCATGCATGCTATTTACAATATATTACGTAGAAGCTTATAACATTTGAATGACGCAATTTCAACGTTAGCTCACCTAGTATTGACAATAATTGACAACTATATCACAAGCTTTCATATTAATAAACTAGTACAACATTGAGGGAAGAGCTAAAAACACTTATTCCTGATCCACATTAACTAACGACAAATGGACTAGGAATTCCAGGAAACTATACTGAAGAATAGATAGTGTATACGATGTCTGGTAATAGAGTAAGTGAGAAACGATCTCACCGTTTTTAGTGGCTGCCTTTCCCATGCCCTTGGTAGTAGATAACAAGTGTAATATATGGACCCCACAACGACTCTTCCTATCGCCTCTTCGCGCACACAAACCTCAATCAAACGCGTTGCCTCAGGGCTTATTCCTGGAACATTCCTGGAAGGTTTTATACATCAACCTGCGTGCGTACGTGACTTTATTGATCTTTAATTCCCCACCTGCAGTAACGCGAATAGAAGCAAGCCTGATGTAATGGCTAATGCAGGGAAGTCGTGCGTTCATGAGGTTATAAGCCATATGTTGTCGGTCATCACAGACGATTCAACAGAACCCAGTACTACCTAGTCATCGATTTTGACGGGAAAAATGATATTTTATAAAGCCACCCACGCCGTGTTACATATATGATAAAATACTCTTTATATATGATAGTTCTATATTACTTACAGACGAAATTTTGCACCTAACAAATTGTGATGATTCTGCAAATGCATTTTGCTACAATCATATTCTAATGCGATG